AGATATATACGAAAAAAGATTGAGAAAAGAATATAGATTTCTTTCTTAAAACAAAAACAAAAAAAAAAAAACCGTGTCCGACCAGGATTTGAACTCGTGGTCATCTGCGCATTTTGCATTACAAATTAGTTCGACATCCTTTCTGTACCAGAAGTCTGTTAGTGTGTCCTCGGAAGGGTCTAGCTCCCTCGTCGCGCCCAATCTCCATGGTCTTTCTTTTTTCTTTTTCTTTTTCTTTTTTCTTTTTTCTTTTTCTTTTTCTTTTTTCTTTTTTCTTTTTCTTTTTCTTTTTTCTTTTTTCTTTTTATTAGGTCTTAATTAAAGTAATTCACGGATGTATAGGACCGCAATAACAAGCAGATTCTTTCCAAAGTATGAATGGCCTCACCGGGATCTCTTTTGGCCCCGATTCGTGACGGCTGTCCCTCCATCTCGACACGGTGGAAATTTATCTCAACACCTACCGACCGATTAATTGAAAAAAATATATATCTGTTTGTGACGATATATTTACATAATTAAAAAAGAAGTTAGGAAAAATATCATTTTTTTTTTTATATAGTTACTTTAAAAAGTTAATGAAACGGCACAATTAACCCCCTTTTTATTGTTTTTTGGTCTTCATTCTGGGATGTATGTGAACGGAATTACACGCAGATTCTTATGGCCTCGGCGGGATCTCTTTTGGCCCCGATTCCTGTCGGCTGTCCCTCCATCCAGACACGCTGGAAATTTATCTCAACACCTACCGACCGATCTTGACGATTTAAAAATAGATAGATAAATAAAAAGATTAAAAAAAATAAATTTATGATTAAACCCCTTTTCTTTCTTAAGTTACGTTTAAAAAAAAAAAAATCCATGTCTTACTAACTCCTACGCGTTCCAAAAAGAAAGAAAAAAAAAAAAAAACTCCTTCGCGTTGAGGTTGGCGCTGCGGAGAGTGACGACCTCCTTCCCGCGATCGCAACACACCCTCGTCATGACTGAGTCGGACCTAAAACATAGCTTGCATACATTCATGATGATCAGGGTCCATGACTGAATCGGACCTAAAACATAGCTTGTATACACTCATGATGATCAGGGTGCTCGACTCAATCGGACCTAAAACATAGCTTGTATACATTCATGATGATCAGGGTCCACGACTGAATCGGACCTAAAACATAGCTTGTATACATTCATCATGACCAGGGTGCGTAGTGCTCGGTTGACGGCGATGACAAGGACGACAAACAGACGAGGAGGCGGACATGTGAAGGCGTGGGATTCGTCTGCATTTTTTTAATATAAAAAAAAAAAAAAATTCCCGAGAGGACAAACTACTTCGAATGCCGACTAGACTAACGATGATTTTTTTTCTTTTTTTTTCGAGTAGATAAAATACTACCACTGACAACCATCAGTGGCGACTCCTTGATTTTTTACTATTTTGAGAAGATAAATTATTACCAAAACAAGGACGGCTACTGATGGGGTGTGAAAAAGACGATGAATAATAAAATAAAAAATAAAAAAATAAAAAATAAAAAAGACGATGAAGACTCGCCGATGATGAAGATGATGACGATGATGATGATGATGATGAAGACTCGCCGATGATGATGACGATGATGACGATGATGACGATGATGACGATGATGACGATGACGACGATGATGATTGGATTACGATGATGATGATGGTGATGGTGATGATGATGATGATCATCATCATCACCATCACCATCATCATCATCATCGATCCTCAGGTTTCTCTTCATCGTCCACTCCTTTCTCCCAATGAGGAGGAGGAGGAGGAGGAGGAGGACGACGACGAAGAAGAAGAAGAAGAAGAAAAAGAAGAGAAATGGCGGGCAAGAGGATGATGACAACCAAAAAAAAAAAAAAGTGAGGTAAGGGAAAGAGGAGGATGAGGGGTTACGGTCATTTCGTGGTTTTCTTTTTTCTCTTTTTTTTTTCTCTTTTTTTTTTTCTCTTTTTTTTCTCTATTTTTTTCTCTTTTTTTTTCTCTTTTTTTTTTCAGAAAAAGGGCGAACTTGGGTGTGTAATTCAGAATTATCTCATTGCATTCATCAACGTCCACCAGGATTCGAACTTTGCTAGGGTCGTTGGTTTTTTTTTTTTTTTTTTTTTTTTTTTTTTTTTTTTTTT